TTCAATACTCCAGGTAGTGGAAGAAATCATTTTGCAAAGACGATGGGAAGTGCTATGCTACACCACTGCGGTAGTAGTAATTCTTGTTGTGAAGGAATTTTAAGCAAATCTTCATGGGATAAATCAAGAAGTTATCTATGTTTGAGGCAGGTGGGTACCTTTTACTCCTTCAAGAATTAATGACTTGTTCATGATCGAGAGTGTTCCAATTTGTCATTATGCCAACTTTGCCCCTACAAAAGACAATATGGATAAATTTTTGAGATTCCTAACCAATGAAGATGGAACATGGGGAATAAAAGATAACAATAATGTAAGTTTTCATTCTTCAATGTTAAATTCCGCATCAAATCCTTGGAAAATCCTTATCTCTGCAAAATTAATCCCAACTAAAAAAATCAGTAAAATGACAAAGGAAAGTACTATATTGAACTATTGTATTCAAACTGGAAGACCTATCGATGTGGGTGCTAATGTGGGTGCTATAGGGTGCTATAATAGTAAAATCTACTCTTGGATTGATTTTGAAGAGTTCTAATCTTGGTCTTAGACATCAATCTACAATATTTTTCATTTGTATGCAATCACAAGTTCTATATGAAAATTGGGAAAAAGTGTTTCTTTCTTGAAAACCCATGGACCTAGTGTTAAATTGTTATTACTTAGAAAATGGAGAAGTGGATGACATAAATATTTTTATGGATCGATCATCTCAAAATTCATCACCTATACGACCCAGAATTCTAGAGAGTTCATTTGTTATTTTGAAGAAGATTAAGAAGTTGGAGAATGAGATGACTAATATTCTAAATGCAATTGGCATAATTTCTGATTAGTTCGACCGTTTGGATTGGAGAATTAAAGAGCAATTTGATCACACCGGACTTATGGAAGAGGATATGGAGCGAATGTACAAGAAAATTTGTTGGATCGAAGAAGGCTCGGCTAATGAATTTTCTCAACATCCTTTCTATAACTTATTCATGCATCACCATTCCATGGGAGATATTAGAGAAAACTACAGTACTTATGATGAAGATTTGTAGCAACTCTGAAGTTTGGAATTATTGTTTTTAAGAGCTTGTGTGTGTTTAGTTGTGTTGGATTTTCTTAGTTTTTTTATATCAGGCTTATTGTGTTTGCTTTTTAGTATTTTATTATTTAGTTTTCAGCGTTAAGTATTGTTGGTGTGATATCAACGCTGAATTTATGTGTGATTTCAAAATACTTGTTTGTACTTGTACTTGTTTGTACTTGCCTTGTTTGTACTTGCTTGGATTTATATATAAAATATGAAGTTGTTTGTTGTTTGTGAAAACTTGGTGTTAGTTTTTACATAATTATGAAAATTAATGTGAATTTAAACTAATTAGAAGATTAAGTGCTTTGGTGTTCAATGTTATTTACAAAAAAAAAATCAAAAAATGAAATTTTAAGTGTTGGCGCGTAGGCGCCAGATCTGCTGGATCATTAAAACCCGCGAAAATGAATAGTGTCCCCCATTTTTCTGCTCGGAGTCATCTTCAACCTTACAAATAGGGGCGAAAAATTCCCTACCTACCTCCGATTTATACCCTATGAGCCCGAGGTAGAATTTGAAGAAGATGATGAAGATGATGAGCAATAGTTTATTTTCATGTTTTTTTTCTGTAGATTGATTTTATATTTATGTGGATTGTTAGTTTGAGAACATTATTTTCATATGATGTGTATTGTAAGCAAATGTTGAACTTTTTATATTTAGATGTAGATTGTTTATTTTTCTTTCAGTGTTGTTTATTTCTGTAATTTGTTGCTTATGGTTAGAACTCTTCTCTACTTAGCAAAACTTTTTGATACATCATGTTTTACATAATATTTTATGCCATGTTCTTTTTAATTTGGTATCTGTAAAGTTTCAAGTTCAAAGCCCTCTACAAGTTAATTTTTTTAAATGCATTTTATGTTTTCTTTCTACCTTTATTTTTGTATTAAATGCTTTATCTATTAAAAATTTATGTTTGGGGGAGAAATAAAATTTTTTTAAAAGAGAAACTAAATTTAATTTATCCTCAATAAATATATTTTTAAAATTATTTTTAACATAACTTTTGGTAGCAGAGATCAACTTAAATATAACTATATTTTTTATTTTACAGATATGATTGTAGACTTAAGCAAAAATCTTTAATAATGAATATTAGTTCAATAAATTAAGATAATTAGTATAAGAGTATAAGGTTATGTGTGTACTGTTTAAAGTAAAGGAAATTGTATTTTTGAAATATTAAGAGAGTCTTTGAGTTATATAAAAAGAAAGGGTTGAGACTTTATGAAAAATATTTTTTAGTTAATATGTGTTTGTAAGTAAGTTATGTATGAGGTTTTTAACTTTAAAAGGAGGAAATGAAGTTCAAATTAAATGCTATCCAGATATAGTACTCCTCAAATGAAAAGATTAAAAGGAGGAAATGAAGTTCAAATTAAATGCTATTCAGATATAGTAATCCTCAAATGAAAAGAAAAATAAAAAAAGGGGGATAAAAAATGATCCTAAAAGAAAAGGAAAAGAAAAGGAAAAGAAAAAGAAAAACAAAAAAAATATATATGTGAGAAGAAGCTTGAGGAGATGCGTAATCAAAAATTGTTTTCACTTGAATCAACTTTAGGAAAGAGATTTAAATACATTCCTAAACTTAAATTCAATTATTAGCGTCTTTACTAATGAAGTTCTTTTTATATGGTCCTTCTAAGCATCTTTAATATAACTAATTACAATTATTCTTGAAATGAATAGGAAACCAAAACTCTTATACTTAAAGTATTAGATATTCTTACATTTTTAGTTTTAACCTACGTTATTAAAAATTTTTCTAAAGTCTTACTATTGTCTTTATAAAACAAAATCTATAAAAGGTTTTAAGTGATACTCACTACCTTAAGTCATATTTTTCTTATGCAGTAAAAGAGTTACATGAAGACAAGTAACAGTTAAGTTTGAGGGATTTTGATACACCAAAAATATATTCGATTTTTCATATCTATTTAAGGTTTATTTTTTGTGATATTGCACTTTAAGAAAGATATTTTCAAGTTTTCTTATTTTTGTGATATTGCACTTTAAAGAAAGATATTTTCAAGTTTTCTTATAGGTACACTAAGTCTAGGCATTTGGAGTTTAAGCGATGCAAAAAAGTACAAAATTTGGAGTTAAAAGTGGTGTTTTCCAAAAATTGAACTGGTGCCTAAGCGCCAGATTACAGAGAAGACGACGCCTAGGTACCAGAGACATTTATTAATTTCACAAATGCATTGAATTTGGATGGATTTTGAAGAGGTTCCTATGAAGACTCTTAAGAAATTCATCCTTACATTATAAATGAGTGTTTTTATGTCAGAAAAAGTGGTGTGTATTGTTTGTAAAGGTGTTGTGCGTGAGTCTCAAGTTGGTGGAAAGTGTGCAAGTGTCTCTAAGAGTTTTAAAAGGAGAGAGAAAGTGAGAGATTTCATCTTTCTTACAGTTCTAAGAGAAATTTCAGTGTTATTGTAAAAAGAAACTTCAAGGGATTTGCTTGGGGAAAAGATTGAGTTAAGTTATTTTATTTTTCTTTCTTATTTTATAAATTTATTTTTATATATAAAATCTATGTTTTGTTGCGTCTTCCTCATGATTTCTAAGTAGATTTCTTTGTCCTTTATCTTCACGATCTAATTGTCCACTTGCTCATGTGATATTGTCAACCAATGCTTTGACGCTTAATAGATATTGCGTCATGGATTAGTTATTCATCAATAGGTGATGGAGCTCATTCTTGAGTTGAATGTGTATTAAGCTATTGGTGGGATGCAATTTTTTTGCAATGGTATGCCAGATTTTTTAGGTGATAGGTAGGTAGAGGACATATGGACAAATTGTTGTAGAGATGGAGTATAACACAACAGTTAAATTTTTATCAATTAAGATTCAAGTGTAGTGTGGATTGAGAGCTTGTAGTTCTAATGTGTTCTCGATGAATTCGGGGGGCATGGTGTGCTGCCATCGAGAAAACCTAAATAACATTTGCGGTGAAGACTTTTAGAACTTTTTTTGTCAGTATATGATAGTTATATGTCAACAACTAATTTTGACTGAGATTCTTTAGATTGCCCATTGGAAATTAAAGAGAGGGAGGGATGAATGTGGTGAAGATCGACTCCATTGAAGAAGTGTTGCGAGTTTCAAATGTCTAGGAGATTGACATTTCCCGAGAGAGGCTCACGAGATGAAAGCAAACGAAAGAGACAACAGATGAGGACTCATATGGTCTTGAGCTCAATGCTCTCATACAACAAAAGAAACTCTAAATAGGAATTGCAAAGGTCAAAATACTTAAGAGTGAAGTATAGAGAAAGATGCATGGAGCATTTTCATTCTATCATAATAATCTCTAGTATAATAGCTGATACATATGAGAGGAAAGAAATTCCAGAAGTTTAAAATTATATCTTACAAAAATAATATGCCGCAAAATTAACATATTATAGATTGTTAATATGTAAGCATAACTGTAAAAATCAAAATTTGTGTTAGACACATTCATGAATAGATGTAAGTAAACGACCCTTTAAAATTTTAAGAACACCTAAACTTTTAATATTTTTCATAACAATGTAAGTCGTTTTAGAAATAAAAGATAGCTAAACAAACTTATTTTTTGTTTTTGTATTTTAAGAGAATAAAAGAAAAAAAATTTAATATAGGGTATCTATTATAAAAGACCTTAATATATATTTCAGCATAAAGTAGAAAAGATCAGCTATAATTTGTAATTGCAAAATTTTTTTCCCTGGAAGCATTCCTTAAGATGTCAATATATGTCAACAAGAAGTACAATAAGAACACAAATTGGATCATCGTTTATAACTATATTGATTATTTCTGTATGAACAAATATAGGGAGAAAAATATCAACTACTCTAGAAAATTCAAAAAATGGCTTCTCCAAAGTAAAGGAAGAAAAAAATAAATTAGAAATCATAAAATACCTAAAAAAATAAACTAAATTATTATGATATTTCTAAAGCATAAAATGTACACTAAGTCAGTTTCCTTCCATTGGGCATCCATGATCATTGATTACTCTACATTCAGTCCAGAATCAGCATTGAATCATCATCCTTTTTACTGTTGCAAGCAACATCAGATAAATCAGCTCATGTATTAAAGAATAAACATTTACTACACATTTTCAGGGGGAAGGTCTTATGCCTTCCACCAAAAGCTGACAGAAAAGCTTGTCGAAAGGGATCTCACATAATGCCACCATTTGGGAGGAATATAGAGCATGTCGCCTTCTTCTAAAATGCAATCAATGAAGTCTAGATTTGCAGTTCTGGGAAAATATTCAGCATCAAAATTGTCAAGGTCAACCTGCAGAAAAAAATTAAAGAATGAAAAATCTCAGAATTGAGCGGACAATCATAGCATTCCATATCTTAGAACGTTACTTATGGTTCAATTAATGGAGATTTGCTTTCCCTAACATTTGGTAGAATTGAAGATCAGTGCTCAATGCCCGGTTTTAAGAACAACTAAGATAACAATTAATTAAAAATACCTGGCTAGAATTCCTTAGCATAGACTCTGTGTAAGGATACAAGTCCTGGGATGCAGATTCTGGATAAAGCCTTACATATTTTCTACCTAATACCTGAAAAAAGTGGGGAAAAACAAGTCAAAACACAAGTACAATATTGAACACACATCTGATAATCCAACTTTGTATGTAATTACTCAAGGTTACCGTCACTTAATAAGAAGCCTCGACCACTAACTGACTAATGTAGGACGGTAGATAATAAGATCTCATCAGATCCAACCCAGCACAAGAAAAAACTAAAGCCAACAAAGCTGGTAAAGGGCTTGATTCAATCTAATGAAGGACTATCATTGTTGATCCAAGCTTGAAAAATGCTAAAACATAATCAATTATCGATCAAATTTTGATCATTGAATTAAATTCTCAATCCCATTATATACATCATGCATAAAAAAAATAAAACTATGCCCATAATGAAGCATTATGATTGACGCTAGGTAATTTAATTTATTTTCTTTGAAGTTATTGCTAATTACATATCTTTCTTATAACCTTGTCTTATATTGGTAATTTGTTGCCAAACTTTTGTCAGAGTTTGTTTTCCTCTATGAAACTTGGGTAAATTTTTTAGGCACCTAAAACAAAGATAGTTAGCATTATCACAACAATTTGGGCCAACCTTATTCCGTTCATTCCTACCAATCGCTAAATGACCCCTAATTTCTGTAACTTGCACAAAGCTTATTTCCTCAAATCAAGTAAAACAACTTCCTATCAATATTTATTTATAATCCTTCACATTAATTACATCTACCAATTATTGGCATCTTCTCACTGACTTTATATCCCAAAATACTAGTAAATTTTCTACCACATCAACTTTTACTCCCAACATCTCTTTTAAATAATTATTCCTATCATATATGAAAAACTTCTAAACATTCATCTTATCATTTTCATTTTTTCTTAGATTTGACTGTCAATGACTTCTTGGTTGCTCAAAATTATGATCCATATAGTAAAATCCGTCAGATTATAATTTTATCAAAGCTTTTCTTAAATCTAAATGATATTCTCTCGTTGAATGTAGTAGAGTGTAACACACTACAACAAAGAAAGAGAGACGGTGAGCACACAACGAGGGAAGGTTGGATGGTTATTGTGGACAAAACAAGAAGACCCATTTATCTCTCCTTCAGCTCCATCCCCTGCTGTAAAAATTATTCTATTCTTCCCATTTTCAATAAACATGAGTTGGCTTGTTCTCACTACAAAAAAAAAATGATTAATCATTAAAGATTCAAAAGAGCTAAACAAGTTAAGAACCTATCATTTGGTTGTAAATCAAACAGTCATGCTTATTGGTCTTACCCAAATTACTTGGATCAGCTTTTATGAATCCGCCATCCCTATTTATTCCTATTGTAATAAATGTGGTTTATTAAAGCATTTCCCAGCTTCTAACAACAATATCATCATTCAACACATTTATCATAAGATATTTTTGCATTAATTTTATTTAAGCATTAAATTGCTGTCAACCAATAGCACATAAAGATAACAATTGATTTATTTGTCAATAGTGCAATACAAAATTCTATAATTAACATTATTGAATGAAAATTTGTTTGCAACCATAGATTTAATCTTTGAAAAGGTACCCCATTAACAATTTCTCTAGCTACAATGTTTGATCACAATTATGTAAGCGGATGCAAAACTTGCTTAAAATAAAAAAATATATCAATTTTAGCCTCTAGAAAGTCTCCACCAAAGCATCCAAATCAATATTCAGATTCATACGCCAGATTTTTACTTGAAAATCTCTTTTATTCTCCACTTCATCATTTTCATTACACTACTATGTTACATTGACTTCTCATTGTTTGCTTTTCCGCTCCACCACTAAGGTCACTTTTCCTCTAGCATGTCCTCTATTGCTCTTCCCATCTACTCCACTTACATTTTCCTACTTCTGGAGGAAAGATGAAGAAAAACAGAATTTGGTTAAAAGATGAGAGAAGGAAAAAAAAAACACAAGAAACCTTCTGAAAAACAAGTTAGCAGTAATTAAACACATCTGAATAGAATAAGATCTTAGACCAAGGTGTAATAAATTTTATATTTTTTTTGTTCTTTTATATTTTGAGAAACTAAATGGGTTGAAGAAAAAGCTAAAGAGATTGATAGCTTAGATTTAATTTTTGATATTCAGGTAGGAGTCGTTTTAGAAATGATGGATGTATAATCATAAATAAAGGTTTAAAATATAATTTTGTAAGAATTAATAGAATTGAAGATAGAATTACAACCTTAAAGATTATTGTTAATATTGAGATTTTTAATTTTATAAGTGCTTCAAGTAGGTTTAGATATAGCTTCAAAAAAAAAAAAATGTAATGACCTGGACGAATTAATACAAAAGATACATCTTGAAGAAAGAATTTTTATTGAAGAAGATTTAAATGTGCATGTTGGTAGAATTGTGGATGATTTTAAAAATAGTTGTGATGACTATGATTTTGGAGTGATCAATGAAGGATGAAGAATCAAATTAGATTTTTCTTTAGCTTATGATTTTGTTATTACTAATATTTTAAATAAGAAAAAAGATTGCATATTATTACTTATAAGAATGAATATAATAAAACATAAATTGTTTATTTTCTTATGACATAAAGATATCATTGAGAATTTAAAGATTGTAAAATCATTTCAAGTGAAAATTGAAGTACCCAAAATCGACTATTAGTTCTAGATTTTAAGATGAAGAATTCGAAGATAAAAAATATAATGAGACATTGTCATAAATTAGGTGAGAGCACCTAAAAGACAAAAATATTTTTATGAGTAAATTTTAAGATTTCAAGATTTTTGACGTTCATGAAGAAATTAATTCTAGATGGGATAAAGTAATAAGCACTTTTAAATAAGTGGTAAAAGATGTATTTGGATAATCAAAAGAAAATTTTTTTTATAAATAAAAAAAAGTTGGTGGTGGAATAATAATTTGAAGAAAAGATAAACCTAAAAAGTTTTGTTATTAAAATTAGTTTAAAAGTAAGACCTTAAGAAAAATAGAAAAAATTATAGTGGCCCATAGAGAGTATAAGAAAACAATTTGTGATACTAAGAATTGAATTTTTATTGACCTTTACAATAGATTAAATATATATAAAATAGTGTGGGCAGTTGGAATTGCTCTGCTAGGATTTCTGCAACCATGAGGTCTGTCAGCGGCTGCTCACTGGTAGGGAACCTCCTTGTCTGTTTGATCCTTGCTGGGTAGTGCTCTTCTGGGAGGAGCTACTTTGGCCTTTCTACTTTCCCGGGTTTTCTTATTTTTCAAACTTGGAGTTACTGTTTCATTGCTTTTTGTCTTGGTCTACCTAGTGGAAGACTTTCCTATTGGACCTCTTCTGCTGGTTTTTGAAGGTGGTTTTCTTTTTCTGCTGGTGAACAGTCTGTGATTGTCTTTGTTGAACTCCATTTGTTCTAGCCGAGTTTCTTCTTCTCCTTACTGGTTTCTTTTCTCTCTGTTGTTCTTCCTGAGTTTCTTCTCTGTTGGAGACTTTGCTCAATGACTACTCCTATTGATATTGAAACAAATATTCAGTGGTCTAAAGTCACTATAAGGGAATCTCCTTTGTCTGCTTGATCCTTGCTGTGGAGTGCTCTTCTGGGACTGACTGGTCCCTTTGGAGGAGCTACTTTGGCCTTTCTACTTTCCCGGGTTTTCTTGTTTTTCAAACTTGGAGTTACTATTTCATTGGTTTTTGTCTTGGTCTGCCTAGTGGAAGACTTTCCTGCTGGACCTCTTATGCTGGTTTTTGAAGTTGGTTTTCTTTTTTCTGCTGGTGAACAGTCTGTGATTGTCTTTGTTGAACTCCATTTGTTCTAGCCGAGTTTCTTCTTCTCCTTACTGGTTTCTTTTCTCTCTGTTGTTCTTCCTGAGTTTCTTCTCTGTTGGAGACTTTGCTCAATGACTACTCCTATTGATATTGAAACAAATATTCAGTGGTCTAAAGTCACTATAAGGGAATCTCCTTTGTCTGCTTGATCCTTGCTGTGGAGTGCTCTTCTGGGACTGACTGGTCCCTTTGGAGGAGCTACTTTGGCCTTTCTACTTTCCCGGGTTTTCTTGTTTTTCAAACTTGGAGTTACTATTTCATTGGTTTTTGTCTTGGTCTGCCTAGTGGAAGACTTTCCTGCTGGACCTCTTATGCTGGTTTTTGAAGTTGGTTTTCTTTTTTCTGCTGGTGAACAGTCTGTGATTGTCTTTGTTGAACTCTATTTGTTCTAACTGAGTTTCTTCTTCTCCTTGCTGGTTTCTTTTCTCTCTGTTGTTCTTCCTGAGTTTCTTCTCTGTTGGAGACTTTGCTCCATGACTACTCCTATTGATATTGAAACCCATATTCAGTCGTCTAAAGCCACTTTTGCTGATGTGGTTGGTAAAAGCACTGGGTTCCAAAGCTCTGTCGAACATATGGTCTTCCCCAACTCTTTCCATGAGGGAGTGTTTAATGGAGAGCTTCCATATGTCAAACAGCTTAGTAAGGAATCTGGAAAACCTGCTGCCATCTTCTCTGAAGCTGAAATCCAATCACTTTCAGCCAATTTCAAGTTCACTCTTACTGGGAAATTCCAATATGGTCATCCTAAGATGGAAGCAAGCATAAAATATTTTGAAGACTTAAAACTTCTTAGTGATTGGAAAGTAGGGTTAGTGGATGTTAGACACATGTCTATACATTTATCTAGAGAGAGATTATGCTAGATTGTTCTCCAAACAAATTCTATTGATTGAAGGCATGGCAATGAAATTACTAAAATGGTCTCCTGACTTTGATCCTAGTCAGGAGCCCCCCATCATCCCTATTTGGTTCAAGCTCCCAGGCCTGAAGTTACATTTTTTCTATCATCAAGTTCTCTTCACTATTGGTACTACCTTGGGCAGGCCTATGAAACTTGATATTCTCACTTATAATCTCTCAAGACCCTCAGCAGCCAGGATCTTGGTGGAAAGAGACATAACAGTTCCTGTTGTAGATGAAATATTTGTAGGGACAACCCATAATGGGTACTGGCCAAAGATTGTGATGGAGCAAATG